TTTTATGTCCCGCCCGCGAGACAGTGTTTACTGTCTCGCTCGCGAGACAGCTTTCAAAAGATCAGAAACTGTTTTGTAACCGCCGACACGTGGCCACCAACTGTTCAAGAACGTGGGAAACGTTGTGTGCGAGAATCACGTTGATAACTGCCAAAATAACGGAGTTGTAAAACGTGGGAAGACAGTTACAAGAAAACTGCTGGGCGGTTGAGGATTTCCGAGACAGCTAGCATAGGGCAACTCTATTTCTGGTGCCAATACTGGTGAGATCATTTTCTTGAATTTAGTTTTTTGAAATTGAAATTTTAGAATAAAAAATATAAGGTTATTGATGATTTGAGAAGGAATTGGGGTTTCTTGAATTCTTTTAGCAGGGTGATTGTTGCAATCTTGACGGTCTTTGAAAGATTCTTCGATGTGTTCATTTCATGGTAACCTCACAATCTATTTTTTTTTATAAAAGTTTGGAATTGGATTATTGAGTCTTGATTATTAACTATATCGTCTAATTTTTATCAATAATTTGAAGGTTGCCATTGTCTGATGAGACCAAGCTAGCATTCTTCATCTACTTGTGGCACCCAAAAACAAAGGTAATATAATTACTAAAATCTCATTATGAATTCCACTTTGTATTTTAGGGTGGAATTGGAAAGTCGGTGTTTCAATACATGTATTAAAGTCGATGATTGTACTGATCGGCACGTGTTTTAATATTTTTAGGTGTTGGAAGTTAGTCGGCAAGCCATGATGGGAGAGAAACTGATCGAATGAGGAGGAGGTTGAGAAGGCAATGATGTAGATGTCTGGGCTTATATTGGAGAGGAGGAGGAGGTTGAGAAGCCTTGATGGGATCTCTTTTAATGTGGTTATTAGTATAGTTGGTTTTGTGCAAATTTGTCGTTTGAACGGTTAACAGAGTTCATCGGTTTGTAAACTTTGATAAGGAAATGGAAGTCAACTTGTTTAATTTTGCTATAAAATTTTGTATGTCCTTCATGTGACAAGCCACCTTAGAATTACTCCAGATGTCCTTTTATGGAAGTCAACTTGCTTATGTGACATATGATAGTTTCATGTGACATATGACAATTTCATGTCCACAAGAATCACACCAAGCTCATCCTCGCCATCATTCTTCCCATTGTCGGAGCTCTAATACTAGCATTCACATTCACTGCGACCATTTATGTATGGAAAAGGAGAGAAGAAGATCCTGTCATGCTGGAGAGCATCAACACAGATAGTTTCATGTGACATATGACGGTTTCATGTCACATATGTTGTTTTTATGAGACATTTGTTGTTCATACGGGATATTTTGGTGTTGTATGTGATATTTGGATGTTGTATGTGATATTTGAGTGTCGTTTTTGACATTTGTTGTTTATACGTGATATTTGGGTATTGTTTGTGATATTTGGGTGTTGTATGTGATATTTGGGTATTGTATGTGATATTTGTGTGTTGCTTGTGACATTTGCTGTTTATACGTTAAATTTGGGTGTTGTATGTGATATTTGGCTGTAATTTGTTGATAGTGAATGTGCTTAATTGTCACATGGTTGTAATTTGTTTATACGTGACACATGACTATAATTTATTGTATGTGATATTTAGATCTAACAGAGTCATTCCACATCCTCCTTCATCATCATCCCCTTATTCTTCTTTTCCCACCAAGACCTAGGAATAAATAACTCGTCCTTCAAATACTCTGACACTCCTCTTCACCTTTAACTCAAACTCAAATACTCTGACACTCCTCTTCACCTTCAACTCAAACTCAAATACTTTGACACTCCTCTTCACCTTCACCTTCACCTTCACCTTAAACAACACCCAAATGTCACAAATATCATATACAACACCCAAATGTCACAAATTACAGACAAAAATCACATACAACGCCCAAATATCACGTATAAATAGCAAATATCACAAGAAACACCCAAATATCACAAATTACAGCCAAATATCATATACAACACCCAAATGTCACGTATAAACAGCAAATGTCACAAACAACACCCAAATATCACAAATTACAGCTAAAAATCACATACAATACCCAAATATCACGTGTAAACAGCAAATATCACAAGCAACACCGAAATATCACAAATTTTAGTCATATATTACATACAACACCCAAATATCACGTATAAACAACAAATATCACAAGTAACACACAAATATCACATACAACACCCAAATATCATATACAACACCCAAATGTCATAAATTACAGCCAAATATCACATACAACACTCAAATATCACGTATAAATAACAAATATCACAAGCAACACATAAATATCACATACAACACCCAAATATCACATACAACACCCAAATATCACGTATGAATAACAAATATCACATACAACATCCAAAGTACAAAAAATATTCTGGCGGAGGATGTGAAATGACTCTATTAGATCTAATATCACATTCACTATCAACAAATTACAGCCAAATATCATATACAACACCCAAATGTCACGTATAAATAGCAAATGTCACAAGCAACACCCAAATATCACAAATTACAGCCAAATATCACATACAACACCCAAATGTCACGTATAAACAGCAAATGTCACAAGCAACACACAAATATCACATATAATACCCAAATATCACATACAACACCCAAATATCACATACAATACCCAAATAGAATTTTATAGCAAAATTAAACAAGTTGACTTCCATTTCCTTATCAAATTTTACAAACCGATGAACTCCGTTAACCGTTCAAACGACAAATTTGTACAAAACCAACTATACTAATAACCATATTAAAAGAGATCCCATCAAGGCTTCTCAACCTCCTCCTCCTCTCCAATCTAAGCCCAGACATCTACATCATTGCCTTCTCAAACCTCCTTCTCCTCCTCCTCCTCCTCATTCGATCAGTTTCTCTCCCATCAAGGCTTGCCGACTAACTTCTGTTTGCGTCAAAAGTTGGTTTTGTCATGGAATTCATTATATCTTCGGTCGATTACAACAAATTCAAAGAAATAGTCTTTTTATAAGACCTCTTTTACACAACAAAATTAAAAATTACAACTAACCTCTTTTACACAACAAAATTAAAAATTACAACTCTTGAGAAACAAACGCAGGATCGTTGTTTGGATCACTGCTTGTGTAGGATCTTTGCCTGTGCCGGGAGCGCTTTGACTCGTGGACCACCGAATCACAGATTCTGATTGAACCGTGAGGGGTTTAATGATTCTTCCTTCGTTTATCGAAGTAAGAATTTGAAGCGAATATCTTATCGATGTAAGATGTTCACTCTTCTAAAGATCAAGTCAGAGCTTAGATCTCTAGGAATCGCCAGAAGCTTCTTGAGGATGTTTGTGAAGAAGGAAGACTCTCTCTCTTGCTCTAATTCACCAAAACTCAAGGCTCTCTGCTCTAATCTGCTCTGGAAATGCTCAGCCCCTATCAATGATGGCCATAGGAGGGTATTTATAGCCTCCTTAGACGATAACTGAAGAAATAGCTGGTCAATAACTGTCTCTTTAGGCGCGGCAGCTGATGCTGTCGCGGCTAAAGGGCGCGACAGTCGACACTGTCGCGGCCAAAGAGCGCGACAGTCGACACTGCCGCGGCTAAAGGGGCAGTTACACCCACGTTCATACGTGTTTGAAACAGTTCTCCCACGACCTTTAACCACCTTTTTCGTGGTTTAACTGCTTTTCCACATCAGCACACGTTCTATTTCTGATACTCCGCCACGTGGACTTTAAATAATCATCAGATAACTGTATTATAACTGCTGTAGCATCCTGCTTTAACTGCCGCGGCACCATAGGTTGCAGCGGTTAAGCCGCGACACCATAGGCTGCCGCGCCTTAGCCGCGGCACCTTGGTCTGCCGCGCCTTAGCCGCGGCACCTTGGTCTGCCGCGCCTTAGCCGCGGCACCTTGGTCTGCCGCGCCTTAGCCGCGGCACCATGTCTTGTCGCGCCTTAGCCGCGGCACCATGTCCTGCCGCGCTGCATAGTTTAGACTCGTATACCTATTGGAGTATTCTGGTCTCTTGTTTGTTGGTAGAGATGAACCCGATGATGGAGAGGAAGAATTTTATATTCTATCTCCTGGTCTCTTGTTTGTTGGTAGAGATAAACCCAGAATTGGAGAGGAAGAATTTTATATTCTATCTCCTGGTCTCTTGTTTGTTGGTAGAGATGAACCCGATGATGGAGAGGAAGAATTTTATATTCTATCTCCTGGTCTCTTGTTTGTTGGTAGAGATAAACCCGAAATCGGAGAGGAAGAATTTTATATTCTATCTCCTGGTCTCTTGTTTGTTGGTAGAGATGAACCCGAAATCGGAGAGGAAGAATTTTATATTCTATCTCCTTGTCTCTTTTTTGTTGGTAGAGATAAACCCGAAATCGGAGAGGAAGAATTTTATATTCTATCTCCTGATGCAAAGAAAACTCAAAGTGGGATCTCCACTTAGAGAATCTGGACGGATTTGAATAATCCTAACTGTCATAAGGTTTGATTATTCAACTGAAAGTGGACCTCTCGTTCGTGGAATGAATCGAGAAGAGACTTTGGCTTTGTGGTCCTAACTGTAGTAAGGTTTGACCAATTGGGAGTTTGAAGCGAATCCTAACTGTTTAAAGGTTTGATCGTTCAATTTGAGTGGACCTCTCGTTCATGGAAGGAATCGAGAGGGGATTTTGGCTTTGGTCCTAACTGTTTAAAGGTTTGACCAAAATAGGTTCAATTTGAGTGGACCTCTCGTTCATAGAAGGAATCGAGAGGGGATTTTGGTTGTGGTCCTAACTGTTTAAAGGTTTGACCAAGATGGGAATTTGAAGCGATCCTAACTGTTTAAAGGTTTGATCGTTCAATTTGTGGACCTCTCATTCATGGAAGGAATCGAGAGGGGATTTTGGTCTCGGTCCTAACTGTTTAAAGGTTTGACCAAGATGGGGACTTGAGACGATCCTAACTGTTTAAAGGTTTGATCGTTCAATTTGAGTGGACCTCTCGTTCATAGAACGAATCGAGAGGGGATTTTGGTTGTGGTTCTAACTGTTTAAAGGTTTGACCAAGATGGGAATTTGAAGCGATCCTAACTGTTTAAAGGTTTGATCGTTCAATTTGTGGACCTCTCGTTCATGGAAGGAATCGAGAGGGGATTTTGGTCTCGGTCCTAACTGTTTAAAGGTTTGACCAAGATGGGAACTTGAGACGATCCTAACTGTTTAAAGGTTTGATCGTTCAATTTGAGTGGACCTCTCGTTCATAGAACGAATCGAGAGGGGATTTTGGTTGTGGTCCTAACTGTTTAAAGGTTTGACCAAGATGGGAATTTGAAGCGATCCTAACTGTTTAAAGGTTTGATCGTTCAATTTGTGGACCTCTCGTTCATGGAAGGAATCGAGAGGGGATTTTGGCTTTGGTCCTAACCGTTTAAAGGTTTGACCAAGAGAGTGTTTTGTGAGGGAAGATTGATCCAGCGAAGTGATTGAATCTCATCTCAGCAAAAGAGTATTTGGAAATCACTGTGGGGATGTAGTGTTTATCACTTTGTTTGTAATGATCGGGTTATCCCTAAGAAAATT